GGGTGCACCAGTATAAATTCTTGTATCATTTTCTGCTTTTCCCTTTAATCTCTTATTTGTGTTGCATAATTGTGATTTACTGGATATAACTGTGGAAGGGAAAATTATTTGGAGCATTTAAATTTCCCAATAAGTGGTATCAGAGTGAATGTTGCAGCATCATGGGATCCAGTCATAAGTCACATCACTACTTCGAGGGGATGTTGAGATTTGATGGGCATAATTTTGGGATTTAGAAGATGCAGATTACAAATCTTCTTACATACAAGAAGATTGACAAGTTCCTGAAAGAACAATCAGCCACTGAGATGTCAGATAAAGAGTGGACAGAGATGGATGAACAAGCGGTAGCAATCATCAGGTTGTGTTTGATGATGAATGAGGTGAGTCTCGTCGCGAGCCAGAAAACAGCAATAGGACTGATGAAGGCTTTGACTGACAGGTATGAAAAATCTTCAGTCAACAAGGAGTATCTGATTACGAGATACTTGAACATCCACATGGAGGAGGGTACCTAATAACTCTCTTAATTGAGTTAATTGGTGCTTTAAATATGAGGGTCTTTGCCTGAATCGCATGCTTAAGTGAGGAATTGAGTGAAAAATGATGATTACCATGTTCCAAAACTTCAAGTTGATGAATTTAGCAAGTGCCTGCTTATTTCCCCTATTTTCGTTTAATTTTGCAGAATCTGGAAGTATTGGAAGCAGAGATCTAGAAGCAGAAGGAATTGCTAGGGCTTTTAGATGATAGAACCCCCGATGCTAGAGCTCACTTGCCGTAAAAATTCCTCGGCATAGCAAGAATAAGTTTTACATGGGATTTTTACTGAAGTCTGAACAATGCCCGTTTTATCAGGTTTTATCCTAATTGTTAGGGGAGTTATAAAAGCAACAAGATGTGGGTTGTCTCATCATCAATCCCCAAGGGGGAATAGATCACAAAAGAGGAAATTACTTAAAATTCAGTGCTGAAGCCAAAAAGAATTTGAAACCCATAATATTTTGCACCCATTTCGAATAAGAGCTGGCGGTAGGAAGCTGGAGCTTCTGGTTTCTCCATTGAGCTGGAGGTTCCAGTGGGTTTAAAAGAGCTCTTTCACGAAATTGGTTGTTTCTTTTCTTTACCCATTGTATTTTCCCCATTCCCCATGAACTAAACCTCATTTTCGAGGGATCCTTTGCTCTAGCTTGTGAACTGGGGCTTTCTAGCATATTTTTTCTGCTATTAAATAGAGTTAATATAATATTTTCATCTTGCTCATCAATGCTGGCCACATTTATTAGTTTGTTTGCTCTTGTATGACTCGAAAAGGTATATAGGTAGTGTGTTTGGCTCTCTTTGCGGTTAGCTACTATTTTCTAGTAGATTTGTGGATGCTTAGGGATAAGGTCTACCTAACCAAGCTTATGATCTATTCTTTATGCTTGGGTATTTAGCAGCGGAAGTTATAGGTATTCATTTCTGAGTGTCTCAGAAGGGAACCAGTTGGGTTTAAGCATCAGCATGCAATTTTATGTTAGAGTGTCTTCTATGAGCGAGTGAAGGCATATAGCGATCTCCCTTGTTTCCACCTCATTATATATTTCCCGTTCTGTTCGTTTTGCTAAAACATTTATTTGCCTCAGCATCTGTTATTACAGTACTTCTCTTTCTTGGAATTTCTTTATGCATTTTTATAGCATTTTACCTAGTTTTAGTTTTACAAATATTGATTATATTTTATTTGTATTTTTTTGGTATTCTTGAGTGCACGCTTAAAGTAATATCCTTACTCCCTGTTATTTCAATCTTCTTTATACTACAATCGGCTAGAATAGTACACTTACACTTGCATTCACATTGGTTGTGGACACGCAACAATACCTCAATGAACTCTCACACAAATGAGGGCTAAATGAGGGAAAGAACAAGCTGGAGTCCATGGAGATCACATTTTCAGAGGAAGTGAAAGCTATAAAATTGTTGTCCTCTTTGCCTGATAGTTGGAAGACGATGAAGACGACGATGTCGAATTCGTTGGGGATAAGAGTCTGAAATTTTCAAATAACTATGATGTTGTAATTGCTGAGGAGGTTCGAAGAAAATGGAGTAGGAAGAATTTCGAATCCACTTCTGGTGGGGAGAACAATTTGGAATCAACAATGGTAGCTCAGAGCAAGGTCAAAGGAAAGATGGACTGTAAAGGAAAGCAGCAGTATAGCAGCTAGAGGAGTGGGAGTAGCAGTGGAGATGTGGAATGTTTTTACTGCCACAAGAAGGGACACATTAAGCGGTTTTGCAAGAAGCTAAAGGAGGATCAACAAAAGGGGGATTCTACTAATATTGTAGAAGAAAAAGTAGAAGAGTTTCTGGCTTGTGTTGATAGCAACTCAGTAGATCGACCATTACAGTGGGTTGTGGACACTGCAGCATGTATCTTTAGACAGAAAGTGGTTCTCATCTTTCACTGGTCAACATGACGAGGTAACGATGGGGAATGAGAGTGTCTCCAAGGTTAGAGAAATTGGGGATATCTGTTTGTAGACCGATAAGGAGATCGAGTTGGTGTTGCGAGCTTTCAAGTATGTTCTAGGTTTCAAAAAGAATTAGTTATCTGCTGGAAAACTAGATGATGATGGTTACAAGAGTGAGTCCGCAGATGGTAGTTGGAAACTTCTGAGGATATCCCAAGTAGTGCCAGTGGGCCACAAATAAGCTTATGTTTATGTTTCTAGATTTGAGGTTGCCAGGGGATCTGAGAGACAGGGAATGCATAGGGCTATAAATGATTCATGGTGAGACTTTAAAGGATCAGCAGCATTGATAACCAGGACAAATCAGGAGAATCTGTCATCAGTTTAAGTAGAATAGCTAGGAAGTAAAGGATAAGGAAACGGGAACAGCTCAATGAGGTGTTGAACAGGTTGTAAGTTTCGAGCCCAGTTCTCAGACGATTTGGCAAGCTGATAAAGTCGTGTAGGTGAAAGAGTGCATCGAGGGAGATGACTACAGTGGGTACTGAAGTCAAAGGCGAAGTCTCTAGTGTGACAATAGACTTGGGTGGGAGTGCCAAGTCATTAGACGAGAGATCTACCTTCAGATGTCGTTGGGTTCGATCGAGGAAGGAAGCATCATGGACCACTTAGATCGAGTAGGAGCACGTGGTTGTATTGCTAGCTTTTGGGAGACAAAACCACGTAGGATTGCTCAGTCTCGGAGCAATCACAGACAGAGCTTAGTTGGGGTCGAGCAGTTGTTGATCAGTTACTGTTGGTGCAGTCAGAACTAAGCCTTGGCGGCGTTACCAAGATGATGGGACACTGTTGGTGCAGTGGAAGACAAGATTGATGTTTTATCTCCAAGTGGGATATTGTTGGGATGATGGAGCCAAAACAGGAAACTCATGTCCTATGAAGAAAAGGATTTTCAACACTACTATAAATTCCTACAAGGAGTAGGATATTGTTTTTCCCATAAGAATTAGGATATTTGGCTTCCTATAAATAGAGCCTTTTTGTTAAGGTTTTATTTGTACATAATCCAAATAAAAGAGACTTGAGTGAATGTGGGCAGTGTGTGAAAATAAGTCTGTATCTCGTGGGTTTAATGAGTGTTTTTCATCCTTGTACCTAAGTATATTGTGTTAAATACTTAGAAACTAGAGGCCTTTTGTTGGGACCTCTAGATGGTGAATATCTGGGGAGATATTTGAGTGCTTTGTATCCAACCTCTGATTATAGTAGAACCCGCATCTAAGCGGAAGACTGGATGTAGCTCATAAACTATTGGGGTAAACTAGTATAAATTCTTGTGTCGTTTTCTGCTTTTTCCATTAATCTCTTATTTGTGTTGCGTGATTGTGATTTACTATATATAACTGTGTAAAGATAAATTATTTAGAGCTTCTAAATTTCCCAACACAAGAAACGAGAACATTACCAAATGGGCCCTTAATTTTTGTATTATCTTACTATATAAGCAAATGTACTTCACTCTATCAAATTGAGAATAAAAAGATGATTACTTTCTGTTTGGGGGTAAAATATACCTAGGACATGTGGAAGACTCTTATTGGTGTTTGAAGAAATTGAATAAGAGGGATTGCCTAGGTCCACCTCGGCCCTGCCGAGGAGACCGGGTTCGCCCATTATAAAAAGGCTAAGTATGGGCGTCAAGGTTCGATCTGGTTGGGATCCGACCTGCTTGGAACCCGACAGGCTCGACATGAGAAAAGACATATAACCGCCAGTCGTGTGTACTGTCGGATCCATCACCTATAAATAGAGGGCTTCATTTCACGCTCAGGTATCGAATCTCACCTCGAACTAAATACGGAGTCCGATCTATACTGACTTGAGCGTCGGAGTGCTTACCCTCTTGTGCAGGTCCACCCTAGTGTTCAGGTCGGAACCGGAGACCGGGTTCGAGCTTGATTCGTGAAGAACCGTTGTGCAAACTCTTGCATAAACACTTTCTTTCCATTATATTTGTCATTGTAATATTTTTCTGATTGAACTAAAGGAAAAAGGGTTTTAATACTATTAAATGAAGTTCTTTCTTATTTTGAGTAAAATTTTTAAAAATAGAAGAAAGAAAACTGTTTTTAATTTCTAAAAAGATAAGCTTTAATTAGGCATATTCAAAAAATCCACCAATCTGACAAACCCAACCCAAATCGTAAGGGTTGAATTTAGTTAAATAAAGGCTCGTGTTCGGTTGTGTTGAAAAAATTCCAACCCGATCGAATTGGGTCGGATCTCGAGTTCACCATGTAAAAATTCGAGTTGTATATATATGTATATATGTATCTATATATAATAAGATGTAATAAAATATGTGGTTCGGTCTCAACCTTTTATTATGTTTTAATCCTAGTCATCCATTTGATATTTAGGGTTTTTGAAGTTTTAACTTTTCATCTTCTCTTGTCTTCCACTTGAATCTCACACCATTTTCTTTTTTCTCCATTTTCAAACTACTTCCAAATCTCCATCTTTCGTTTTCTCCTTCCTGACCCTTCACTGCTGTAGCAGCCCATGAATATCATCGCCGCCACAGCCTTGAACCTCGTCGCTGCCCCAACCGTGAATCTCGTTGCTGCAACGGCCCTTGAACTCGCCACCGCTGCAGCCCGTGAATGTCACTGTGTGCCATCTGCCATTAGCATCGTCCGTTGTTAGCATATCCGTCTTTTTTCCGTTGTCCACCGTGAGCCGTCGCCGGTAAGTGAGTCACAGATCCGTCTGTCGTCGACCCATCCCAGTCGTGAAGCCCATCGCTGAGTAATCAGTAAAGAACGAAAAAAATTATGCCAACCCGACAACCCAACCAGAAAATTTTGGGTTGGGTTGGGTTGGTCATTCATTTTGGCCCGTTAGTTCTCAAAGATGGTCAACCCAAAAATTCGGTTTGGTCTCAATAATATCCCTAACTCGATCCAACTCAACCGTAAACACCCCTAGTTTAAAGCCAATTAAAAATAAAATATCAATTTTTAAAAACTAAAACTCTCCATTTGGGTAATCTTTTTGTTTTGTATTTTCTTTTTTCAAAAACTTTTAACTTTTTTACTTACTTCTTTATTGTATAATCTCATTTTATAACTATTTCTAATAGACAAATTTTAAAAGCTAGGAAAAATGAAGTGGAATTTTAAAATATGTATATTTTTTAAAAAAATTTAGCTAAGATTTGAAAATATTTTTAAAAACAAAACAATAATTTAAATAGTAATGGAAAACTAAAACATTATTGAGGAGAGCTACTTTGTTTTTGTTTTCAAATTTCAATTAAGGTTTTAAAAACGTTTATAAAATAGATTAATATAAAGAATTTTTCATTACAAACATGATTTTTAAAATACATAAAACAGGAGAACAAAATCATTAATGAGCCCTAATTAAAGTAAATTTGTATTTTGACAACCTGATTAAGATTTCTCAACTCTCAACTTATATGAACACACTTGGTTTTTGGAGAAAAAGAAACATTTAATGAAAGATTTTTAAAATTAATGTTAGAAGAAGAAAGTATTAAGATTAAGGATATTTGAAGATTTGAATTAATTGTTTGATGGACTCTCTATACCAACTGATGTTATTAATTAGACTAGTCTTAATTAGAACTGATATAATTGTAACATTGTAATTCATATATTATTAAAAAAAAATCAACATTTTTGCCATTAATAAAACTCACAATTATATACTATTATTATTTTCAAGAAGCTTCAATTTTTTATTGAGCTAGAAACATCGCTATGTACCAGAAAAGAGGGATTTTTCTTTAATAATGTTTTATTTCAAATTTATTCCAAATATATATCAATCCACATACTATTTCCAAGAATAATGTTTAAAAAATTATAGGTCGTCTCTTGAATTGCATGGCGTCATGTGTTTTTGTTTTTGTTTTTTTTAGTTCTGGTATGTTGTCTCTTCGAGAGACGACAATTGACAAATTGTACGCATTTATCATTCTGGTACAGTGGTTGTATGCCTACTTTATAAACTAAATGTCCTGGTTGAAGTCTCCATTGTATCACTTTTTCTTTTCTTTTTTATTCAATAAAATGTTATGTTGAATTTTTTTTTTTCATTTTTTTAACGAAATTAGCACTTGTTTCAATAATATTTTTTTTAGTAGTAATTTTTTTTTTATAATTAGTAGTTGTTTTTATTCGATAGAATGTGATATAACAAAGACTTAAACCTAGGATCTTTAGATTAAAAGGCAAGTTTATCACCACTATACCATAGTGGAAGTTTTATACAATTTAGGCATATGTCGTCTATTTAAGAGACGACATGTCATAATTAAAAAAAGAAAAAAAAATACATAGCGCCAACAAAGCACCATGTAACTCGAAAATTGTGATGTGACATAAGTCGTCTCTTTTTCTAAGTATTATTATTGGAAATAGTTTTGGTTGATATATATTTGGAATAAATTTGAAATAAAGCATTATTAAAAAAAATCGTCCCAGAAAATAGCATTTGACAAATTNTCTTCTTCTCCTCAAAGGAAATTCTCCCCTCACCTCGTTCAGGGGAGATACGTCAAGCGCCTCGGACTCCTCCCTTGGACGCTTCTCTCCAGATCGATCCCCAGATAAGTCAAGCTCGATCACGGGGGTGGGGGCTGTAGAAGATGGCCCAGAGTTACCATGGGCCTCAGTCCGTGGCACCGTTGGCATCACCGGTTCAGTACCCACCACGGTCTTGAGGGCGTGAGCACGGCCCTTGGACTTGCGCTTCACACTTCCAGTGAATCCGCACACCATTGCTGCAAAATAAACAAGCATAAAGTTTGAGATCAAAGGAAAGTTAAGATTGAAGTCGAGATCGAACATGGCCTACCGAGCTCGGAGTTCGGCCTTGAAGCTTCAATTGGTCGAACCAGAGGGTTGTAGTCTAGTAGCCCCGACTCCCAGAGTAGCTTGTCGGTGACCAAGGTTCCGATCTTCCGGCCCTTGGGGAAGTGATCCTTGTAGTATTTGAGGGTATCGAAGGTGGCTTGAGCAAGCTCGGGAATCGGTTTGATCGACACTGCACAAGACGAAAAGATTCAAGTTAGACATGAAAAGGGAAGAATAGAAAAATTCAAAGATGTAAACACAACGGCCTCATACCTAGATTCCCAAACCTAACAGGACCGTCAAAGAAGGGACGACCTGACTCATCCTTTGCCAGCCATTCCCCTAAGGCAAAGAACCACTTACCTACCCATCCTTTGATGGAGGTCGGCCCCTTGACTATGCCACTCGCGCCTTTCCTCGCGCACATATAATACCGACCTGGTTTTTTAGCTATCCTTTTGGCCTCAAAACACCCAAGAAGTTGATCAACGCTTAGTAGCTCGGCCTCATCCTTGTCCCGAGCTCGCAACCAAAAAAGGATAGCTAAAGCAAAAATGACACCCCACCCATTAGGGGCCACTTGAGCAGGAGCCAGTCCAGTTCGGTTCAGGAACTCCTAAGCAAAAGGATGAAGAGGAAGTCTGAGGCCGTACTCAAACATCTTTAAATAAAGAGTGACTCATCCCTCTGGGGGATTGTCAGCTCTTTCCCCTTCCTCAGGAATCCTAAGAAGGATATCGTTCGGAATTTTAAACCCCCTACGAAGGGGTCCGAGATAGTGCTCGGGCATCTTTGAAGGGTACTCCAGACCCTGGCCCGAGGTGGAGGTATCACTATCATCTCCATCATCTGAGAACCTAAAGTTCTCTATTTCTTCCAGCTCGGACTCTAACCTACGAGCTAAGCCCTCCCTAGAATCACTTGATTTTGGGGGCGAACTACTTATGGTACGACTCGCACTACCTAGGCTATCACTACTGGAAGGGGAAGACAAAAAAACCACCATATTCGAAAAAGAAGTAAACAAGAATGACTGACCTACGGAAGGTTCGAGCTGGTTTCAGATCGAACTCCAAAAATTCAGGAAACGTGAGGTTTGACCTGAAATCTCGGGACTATTTATAACTAATCGGAAAAGTCTCTACGCCGTACACGTGTAATCAACGAGCGGCTAGGATCTTCTCGAGATATGCAACGGCGGAATGCTTGAGTGCTCTGACAACCTGGCAGATCGAAACGTCTTCCGCAACGGTCATATTCCCTCTACAAATGAAAAGTCGCCACGTGTCCAGAATGGACTCGGGTGAACTTCTCTGCCAGGTCGAGATCGAACCTGACAGAGAGGGGGCCAATGTTTGGGGGTAAAATATACCTAGGACACGTAGAGGACTCTTATTGGTGTTTGAAGAAACTGAATAAGAGGGATTGCCTAGGTCCACCTCAGCCCTGCTGAGGAGACCGGGTTCGCCCATTATAAAAAGGCTAAGTATGGGCGTCAAGGTTCGACCTGGTTGGGATCCGACCTGCTTGGAACCCGACAGGCTCGACATGAGAAAAGACATATAACCGCC